CTGACCCCGGAGAGAAGTTGTAAAACTCCTGACAAGGCAAACAGACAAGCTAGAATAAGATCAAGTCCAGGCCCGGGAAAAACTGGACCAATCAAGGATGGACCCGTACTAACCCCCTCCCCTCTAAGAAATTTTATGGGTTTTGCCTATAAAAACTAACTTCCCCAAGAAAGAATAACTCTTCCCTGCCTCACTTGAGATGGCTTTAGATTGAGTTTCCTATCATGATTTACAGCAGAAGTGAACCTTGCTTTTGCATTCTGGTATGCTCGTCCTTGGTGGTCTCTCTGGGGGTTATGATCTGGGCACAACAGTGTGTGTGTGTGTGTGTGTGTGTGTGTGTGTGTTGGGGGGAGGTGCAGAAGACCCAACCCCACAGGAAAAGCCCAGGAGATGGCTGTCAGAGTTCAATATGGTAAGCTTGGGTCCCCAAAGTCTCTAACAATTCCCATGGTGATCCCCATGGTGCTGAGTCCTCATGCCAAACCGGTGACTTTGCAGGAGACAGCCCGGCCGGCTCCAGCAGCAGTTGGAACAAGCAAGCCTCAAGCTGCAAGAAAGGCGCGCGCGCGCACGGAGAACGCGCTCTGCTGACCAAAAGCTCTGCTGCCTCGGGCCCCTTGCCGTGCCTGGCTGGTGACCTGGAAACAGATGTGCTTGTAGGAGGCCCGGGGCTTTCGGTTCCGGTGCACGGTAGGTCAGTGTAGTCGCTGCTTCCTGTCCTCGGTTTCCCGACCTGGGCACTACGAGGTGGTCGCGGTGTGGTTGCTCCCGGGGGCCCATGGCTGAGGGTGACGTAGGGAGCGACCAGAGGCAGGTGAGGGCCCCCAGCGGCAGCCCGGGAGCCGGACTCGGGGACCGCGAGCAGGCTCCCCGTTTCCCCCTTCAGGCCTGTTCATTCGTTGATGGTTTGAGACAGTGTCTGTCCACAGAGTCCTGGCCATCCGGGGCTGTACTCGCAGAGGTCTGCATGCCTCCGCCCTCAGAGCGCTGCATTCAAGGCGAGCGCCTTCACACCTTGCTGTCATTACTTTTTAACCCTAAAATAATTTCTTCAGCGCCTAGTTAGCAAGGGGGGCGGGGGGGACATGCTAACGAGTCTTGTTCCCAAATTAACGACAACAACAAACCTAAAACAGAAATACCAGAGAGAACGCAACAGGAATATGGTGTTAATAGTGTGGGGATGGCCTTTTCATTGGTAAGTCTCATTACAGGATATATAATTGTGTGCGTGTGTGCGCGCGTGTGTGTATGTGTGCGCGTTCACGCGGGCGCGCGCGCTGCTTGCAGTCACGGCGATAGTGTCAGGAAAGCCGACAGCCGAACATGCTAAGAACATTTGACCTCCGAAGACTCATTTTTGTTAATGCCATAAAAGGTGGTAAGATTCGGTTTATCCATGTATGTTCATTTGTTGACTTTCAAACATCGACTTTCAGAATGAGGAAATCGAAGCCATGGCTGCCATTTATGGGGAAGAGTGGTGTGTTATAGATGATTGCGCCAAAGTATTCTGTATTAGAATCAGCGACGACATAGATGACCCAAAATGGACACTTTGCTTGCAGGTATTTTTTCTTCTTCTTTGTAGTGATTTTCCAGTTTTTTGTTTTTTGTTTTTTGTTTTTTTTGGTTTTTTCGAGACAGGGTTTCTCTGTGTAGCTTTGCGCCTTTCCTGGAGCTCACTTGGTAGCCCAGGCTGGCCTCGAACTCACAGAGATCCTCCTGGCTCTGCCTCCCGAGTGCTGGGATTAAAGGCGTGTGCCACCAACGCCTGGAGTAATTTTCAAGTCTTAACATATAACTGGTGACATTTGTCTCTTTATGATTATTCCAGTTTGACTTGCTTTCTGGATTGCCTTTGCTGATACAAATGTAGATATTTAAATCTGAGGTCACCCTCATATCATGCTTTCGTTGATGAGATCTTGTTATTCTTCTAATTAGTAAACGTGTTAATGTTCTATTTATAGACGTGAGTGACACTTCCTTTTGTTGCTCTGACCAATAACAGAAGGTTTAGACCTGGAAAGGTGGCTAACATTTAAGAGGAAGAGTAGGTTTTGAATGAAAATCCATAGAGCAATACTTGTCTCTTTATTGAGACTCAGTTGTACTTAGAATAAAATAAAAGATTAATTGTGCATTATTGTTTTGCCTACATGCGTATCAGTGTGAGGGTGTTAGATCTCCTGGAACTGGAGTTACACACAGTTGTGAGCTGTTATGTGGGTGCTGGGAACTGAACCAGGGTCCTTTGGAAGAGCAGCCAGGACTCCTAACATCTGAGCCATCTCTCCAGCCCCCTTAACCTTATTCTTAACTTTCATCTTTTATAGTTTCTCTGCCAAGAATTAGCTTCTAAAATCACAGATAGCCTAACAACATTTTCTGTAGAACCATAAATATGATGGAGGAGATTTTCACTTGATAGTATATAAACCAATGGTTTGTCTTTTGTCTAGACAAATTAGAAACTTGTTTATTGACTGACTTTATAAATTTAGTTGCTTTTCAGCTGTGATCAGTGTAAGCAGATTTGTTTTAAAACTTCCTCGTAGGTGATGTTACCGAGTGAATACCCCGGTACAGCGCCACCTATTTATCAGTTGAAGTAAGCTATATTTTTAACTTTACCTTTTTATAGAAATATTTTACTGTCAAAGATAGTTTTCTATACAGTCATTGTGTTTATACAAAATACTTTGTTTAAAATCAATATAGAAATTAGGAACATCTTTTAAGTTAGTGTGAGCATTTTACAGAGTGGTGTAAAACACATTGATACTGCTTAGTATAAAAGAGTCCGAGTCCCCAGAGGTCAGAGAGCTGGGACTGTGCTGAGAGGTGGCGAGGAAAGCCTTGTTGCTGGGCTCCTAACCCAGCTCTCGGATTAACTTCAAGCTGCCCGCCTTCATGAACTTAGCCAGGGTGCTTGGCGCTTGTGCCTGCCTCTCCGTCCTTGCTGTTGAAGGACCACTTCTTAGTAGTCCGAGCTTCATCTGCGGGAGTGCTGACCTGTTGACGAAGTGGGCTGTGACCTGCCTCGCCTTTAACTTCATAGTTTAGCAAAGCCATATGAACAGAGCTGCATAAATTGGCTATGAAAAGTTGTATCCACAAGTGTTGTTTTTGTGTGTGTTTCAAAACTATGCCAATAAGCCGGGCGGTGGTGGTGCACGCCTTTAATCCCAGCACTCGGGAGGCAGAGCCAGGCAGATCTCTGTGAGTTTAAGGCCAGCCTGGGCTACCAAGTGAGCTCCAGGAAAGGCGCAAAGCTATGCAGAGAAACCCTGTCTCGAAAAACAAAACAAACCAAACAAACAAACAAACAAACAAAAAACTATGCCAATAAAACTAATAAAAATTTTTTTTTTGTTTTTTTTTGTTTTTCGAGACAAGGTTTCTCTGTGTCCCTGCCTGGCCTGGATCTCACTCTGTAGACTAGGCTGGCCTCGAACTCACTGAGATCCGCCTGGCTCTGCCTTGCTAGTGCTGGGATTAAAGGCTTGCGCCACCACCTCCCAGCTGGTTCTGTGTTTTTTATCTATTGCGAATGATACATACAGAATGCTTTCAAATATCTTTTCAGAGAAAAAGGCACTTTTGTAATCCCATGGCGGCGTGCTGACTCGTTGGGCTCATTTTTGGGAGTAACCTATTAGTTAGTCCAGCTTTTGTAGCCAGAAGAAGAAAATGAGAACTCCTGGCCTTGTGGCAGACTTACAGATCTGGAATGTTAAATTCCTGAGTAGGTTCAGCCACTGATGCAAATTTGGGCAGGTTTCTGGTACCCTAGGAACTCAGCTTCTGTTTTTTTAGGTCATTAAAATTCAGTAAGATTCGTGTTGATTTTGTTATGGTTTCTTGAGCAGATTGAATGAATTAAGGCAAATGAAAACATTTTAACTCTGTATAGATTTTAAAAACACATTAATGAATATTTGAAATACTCATCTAATTCTTGAATAATTTTCTTTCCTGTGTTTTATTCAATCTTAGTGCTCCTTGGCTGAAAGGGCAAGAACGTGCAGACTTATCAAACAGCCTTGAGGAAATATACATGTAAGTGACAGGTAGCTTTTCCCAGACACTCTGCTAGTGACTTCTGCTCTGTTCTTCTTGACAGATATGTACATACTTTCCCTGAACCTTTTGTTAGGCTCATTAACAAAAACATTCACTTTAAACAAACTAAAAGGTTAGTTACAAAACTCACATGCGTATTTGATAGAAAAATGTGGCAATATTTAAAGTTGGAAGCATAACACTTATTTTGGCTTCTGAAGGCAAATTCAGAGATACTGTTCTTTTTTTTAGACTTTCAAAATATTTAATTGAAGAGTTAAAAATAAAAGCAATATATTTATTGCTGAATGTGGGGTTAAGCAGCTATACAATTTATGGAGCAATATGGATATGAATTAACTATTTAGCCTTTGAAGGTCTAAGGTTGTCATTTGAAAATTAGTGACCTCATTAACTACTTCACAGGATTTGTGTACAAAATCAATACTAGTTTTATGTTAGCACATTGTGGGGTGTGGTTTCTATTTAGTATTTACTATCTGGACCATAAAGGCATTTGTTTTCCCATAGTTAGCCTTCTTGAACCTTCCCGAAGCTTCACCATTACCTGCTTGATTCTTCCTTAACTAGTCTATGAAAATAGCCTTTGATTTGCTACCTGGTCAACAGTTTCTTGAATTTAGCTATTTTGCCTTAGCCTAAGCCTTACCCTGGAAGAAAACATATTTTCATAAGAAGAATCTATAAGCTTCCCAAGTTCAATAAGCCTAATAAAAGTAAGAGTTAGTGGAACATACATGAAAGAACAGACAAGTTCATTCCACATACCTTTAAAAATTATCAGTCACAGAGACAGTTTTCCATGAATTATTAATCAGACCTCCTTCAATGTTTTCAGGCAAAAAGGACAGTGGGGGGGAAATGAATGTGCATACTTCTTCAAATTCCTAGATGTAACAGCAGCCCAGGAACAGACCCAGACAGTACTGCAAGGTGGTAGGTGCATGGAGAGATCAGGCCCAACAGCAAAGTGGCCGCCAGAATCCGCCAGTGCAGGGGACTTGCCCATAGCATGGGACAAAGAATTTCAGGGTTTATAAAGTTTGTCTCTGAAAAAAACAAAGAAAGAACAAGGAGAGAACCTGGGAGATGCCTAATGAATTTCTGTTTCTGTGTCTTAGACAAGAATTTTAGAGAAAGCCATACCACAGGGAGCAAGGAAATTCAGAACTCCCAGGGCATCCATGGCTCCAGTGAGATTTGAGCAGATTAATATTAGTTTGGTGATTCTTGCAACTGCTATGGATAAACAAATGTATACCAGATTCTACGCTAGTTTTTTTAAAATTTTCTTTATTAAGAAACTTTCTGCTCACTCCACATACCATACACAGATCCCCCCTCCTTTCTCCTCCCACCCTCCAGCCCTCTTTCCCAAGACATCCTGCATCCCCACATCCCCCAAATCGAGGTCTCCCATGGGGAGCCAGCAGAGCCCAGCACACTGAACCTAGGCAGGTCCAAGCTCCTTCCCACTGCACCAAGGTTGTTCAAGGTGTCATACCTCAGACACCGGATTCCTAGAAGCCTGACCATGCACCAGGGACAGATGCTGATCCCCCCCAAACAGTTTGAGCCAAACAACCGTCTTCCATATCCAAAGGGCCTAGTCCAGTCCCATGAGGGCTCCACAGCCACCAGTCCACAGTTCGTGGGCTTCCACTAGTGTGGCCGGTCACAGAGATACTGTCCTTGTTGTGTGTATTCTTGTAGCATATGACGAGTGAGAATGATGATGGCAGGATTCAAACCATAATTATTTGTTCTGAATACTTGGATAGTTCTCTTGTAGTAATCTAAAGACCAAGATCCTACAGAGGCACTGTTGTTGTTCATTCAGCAATTCACCCATCCATTCATCCATCCACCAAATACTACATGGTGAGCAGTGTATTAGATTCGGGCTACACATGGTTTAGCAAAACTAGAAATTATTCCTTTTCATAGCGTGTAGAATTTTCTGGTGTGGTAGGGGAATGTATTACCTGCAGCATTGTAAAAGTGAATGTAACTCTGGAGCTGTGAGGGGCGTTATGATGGTGATTGAGTTTGACAGGTTTATTCTGGTCTGGGAGTCTGTAGGTGGCTTGTTGGACTAAGAGCTGAGTAAATTAGCTCACATACTTTCAGTGAGAGGCCAGAGCATAGTCATGGTGACATGAAGTGGGTGGTAGGAGACAGACTAACTCTGTGGGGAAAGACTGGGAAAGGTGGACAGGAAGATGGGAGTTTTGTAGGTTCTGTTAGAGATTTTCTTTCTTAGCCATAGGAACCAGTGAACGCTGAATTTTGAGAGGTGGGATGCCAATCAATGCTAAGACTTCAGTTTGGAAAAGTTAGCCTAGTTCTCTATTGTGATTGCCTGAAGAGCAACAAGAATTGATGTAGGAAATTTGTAAGGAAACTGATAGGTCATTAGTCAAGAGAAGATAAGGTTCATTTGGATTAATGAAATATGTTGATTTATTAAGCCAGATACTATTCTGGATTATCAGATTTTTTTTTTTTGAATCCAGGCGCTAGTAAGCATCTATTGTATGTCCTAGGTGCCCTGTTTCGTACAGTGAGAGTGCCCCCTTTATGTCCCAGGGAGCAAGGCCAGGTTTCTTTTCCTCCCAAAATATTTAATTAGAAAATGGTAAGTCATCATGGAATCCATATTACTTGTCCTTCCTGAAAGACCTTTCTTGGGCCCCTACTTAGTGATTCTGTTATCCTCAGTATATAAATATTTCTTTAGTTAAATGTTTTTGATGCCTGTTTTAACATTACTGGCCATTCTAACAATTGTATTTCCAACATGCTTCTTTTTGTAATCTAGTTATCTTTATTTAACTTATCTTCACCACTTAATGTAGAATAAGGTAAATATACTACAGGCTTGCCTACAATTAATTATACAGCTGGTGGTCACTTTTCAGATCATACTTGACTACTTTATTTCATGAAAATCTTTCCACCCTTGACTTCCATCATGTTAACACATTTGTCTCCTGCTTATACCAATGCCATAGCTTGTGCGGTGCCTTCCCGCCTACCTGCTCATCATTCCCAGAGTCCTGGGTACTAGGAGAAGCCTCTTATAGGACAAAATTTGCCTCTTCTGCCTCACTCAGAGGTTTTAAACAGTTTGTTCTAAAGATAAGAGACAGGTCATAATGTTTTGATTAGTAAAAGTGCTTGAATAATAATTGCAGTCTAATGATAGTATTTTCACATGTGATAAATAGCAATATGAATTGTATTTTTTAAAAGTTTTATGTGACAACTTTTAATGATTTTATATATTTCCAGTCATGGGCAAGAAATGAAAAGTATTACTAACTTTAAAAATCAGATATAAATCTACCAACATAATTTTTAATGTTTATATTTTCAAAATATACTATTGAGTTTTATATATCTAGAGCATTTTGAATGCTAAATTTAATATATGCCTATGTAAGAAGATAAACTATGAGCCGGGCGGTGGTGGCGCACGCCTTTAATCCCAGCACTCGGGAGGCAGAGCCAGGTGGATCTCTGTGAGTTCGAGGCCAGCCTGGGCTACCAAGTAA